ATATGTATATGTATATGTATATGTATATGTATATGTATATGTTGCATTTGTGCTGATAATAAGTAATAGGTAAATAGGGCATACCAGGGGTTGTGACACAAAATACATACAGCCTATTTCCCTGGCTCAGCTGATAAAGGAGGAGAACCTGTGGCTTAGTGGCTAACACAACTGCCTAATATGTAATACAGCACAGGTTCAAATCCCAGTAAGGGTATGGCTAGCTGTGTGTGTGTGTGTGTGTGTATCTTCCAGCATAACTCAGGAATGTCTGGAGCGATTTCAGCCAAACTTGGTACATAGATGGAAACAAATATTTTTGGGGTAAGTCATCCTAATACTCCTTGGGTGTGTGTGTGTTCTGTTAAGATACAGCCTGTTGTGCCTTAAAATGTCTTCTACTGTGCAACCGTAAAATGACTTCTACTGTACAGCACAGTGGAGTTGCTATGATAACAGCTTCACAGTACTCCACAAGGGGGCTCCCTCTGGTAAGGGATAAAATCCAACATTAGAAATTATGACATTTTCCCACTATAAATAAATACCCAGGCAAAGCCGGGGTATCAACTGGTATGTTCATAAGCAAATTATAAAATGGAGATATGTGAGGCTGGAAGAAAAGCTCCATCTCCCAGTTGCTGTGGTATACAGCAGGAGTCTCCAACCTTGCTGGCTGAGGAATTCTGGGAGTTGAAGTCCACGAGTCTTAAAGTTTCCGACTTTGGAGGTCCCTGGTCTACACATAGGAGAAATTAAAGCTCAATAATTCACAAGCATTCTGCAACTCTTATCTCCATTGTTCATTACTTGGACAAACTTTAGATCTAGAAAAACAAATTTGTATAGGTAATCCTCTACTCATGACCAAAATTCAACCCAAAATTCCTGTGGCTAAGTGAAATATTTGTTAAGTGAGTTTCCCCCTATTTTACAACCTTTCTTGCCCACTTCGTAAGTGATTCACTGCAGTTATTAAGTTAGTAATACAGTTGTTAAGTGAATCGGGCTTCCCAATTGAGTTTGTGTGTCAGAAATTCACAAAAGGGGATCACATGACCCTGGGACGCTGAAATCATCATAAATATGAGTGAATTGCTAAGTGTCTCAATTTTGATCATGTGACAGTGGGGGATGCGGCAATGGTTGTAAGCATAAAAAAGGGTCATAAGTCACTGAGAGCATATGCACCAAAGACAAATTCCTTGTGTGTCCAATCACACTTGACCAATAAATTCTATTCTGTTCTCATTTTTTGTTGCTCTTCTCTGCATTCTTAGTATAGACTTAGAATCTTTTTTTATAATTGTTTTATTCTACTGTTAACCAGTTTATACACTGGACTGAAAGGGCATCTAACATCATGTGTCTTTTGTGCATAGATTGCCATGTTCCTGAAAATAAGCACTACTGTTAAAAAAAACCCAAAACACAGTTCTCCTGTCTCCTAACNCTCTCTTAATAAATTGGGACTTTGAGCAATACTTTGTCTCGGACTCTGATTTACTTTTGGATGCTATTTGGAAGGCTGACACAATGGCTAGAATGATGATGATGATCCCATCCCATCTAAGTGACCCTTACAATTTATCACAAACCTACCCTAAGGCAAAATACATTCCAATACAGTCAATTGGTTAGAATATACGACCATATAGCATAACATAACAATCCATACCTTGTATCATACATTTCATCTCACACGGAGGAACAATCATATCCCCCCAAAAAATCTAACTATCTCTCTCGTTCTTTTGGCGGGGGGGAGGGGGGAGAAATCACTACTCTTAATTCAGATCCCAAAAATTTTCTGAAAAAGGCAAATTACAATGGCTTTATTAAATACCAACAATGCCTAATTAGGTATTGACTTAATACCTAATGATTTTGGATCATTACGAATATGGATGATTATGGATCTTCAGATCATCTTTATGGAAAGATGAAATAAATGTGTCATTTAGCGACAGCCAAAATGGACAAGCGGTTAAAGCACCAGGCTAGAAATTGGAAGGCTGTCAATTCTAGTCCCACCTTAGCCATGAAAGCCGTTGGGTGACTTTGGGCCTGTCATTCTCTCTCTCCCTCTTTCTCTCAGCCCAACTCACCTCACAAGGTTGTTGTTGTGGGGAAAATAGGAGGAGGAAGATAGGTTGGATATGTTTGTTGCCTTGAGTTAATTGTAATAATAACAAAGGAAAGAAAGAAAGAAAGAAAGAAAGAAAGAAGGAAGGAAGGAAGGAAGGAAGGAAGGAAGGAAAGGGAGGGAGGGATAGAAAAGAGGAATGAGAGGAAGGGAGAGAGAAAAAGAAAGAAGGAATGAAAGAACAAAAAAGAAGAGAGAATGGGAGGGAAGATAGAGACAAGGAAGGAAGAGAAAGAAAGAAANACATGCAGCATGTCGTTTGGTTACAGTTGTTTTAACCTCTGCATCTTCAAATAATATTTACCATCTCAAATATTTCATCTAATATAACTGTCTCCTAACTTCTATCTCCCAAGTAATTTTTTTGGGGGGGATAAGCTGCTGTGACAGTCTTAAACTCCCGTAATTTCCAGCTAACATGGCCAGGAAAATCCCAATGCTTTTTCTGCAACATGAGGGAAGGTTGGACTCAAACAAATGTTTTGCAATAGCGTTTTATTCTCCGTCTTGCAGCAGCCTGATTGAGATGAATAGTCTTCGTTGCTGCTCCTCCCTCTTGCAAAGGAACATTAAGCAATCAGTTTGAACAGCTGGCACTTTGATTTGGCAAACTAATAAACTGACCTCATGTACCCAGATTTAGGTGATTTAAATCCAATGCAGCATGCACAGAGTAATTTGATGCCGGGCTGCCTGTATATTCAGATGGCATTTGCAGGATGCCTGCATTTCTTCTGATGATAAAGGCAGCTGTCAGAGAAATGAATCACTCTGTTCATTTCAAGCTACACCGTTCATCAAGCCATCAAGATTTTCTCTTTGGGGTTCCTAATTAGAGAGACTCAGCTGCTTATGTGCATTCTTAATTGGAGAAGGTCCCAGCTGAATGTTTAGGACATATATTGGTCTCTTAATTGTCATGATTCCAACACACTCTTCTTTGGTGTGTTTGTAGATTTTCTTTTTTTAAAAAAAAGAATGGCACTGGTTTTTATAATGATCATCATCTCGATTTAAACATGGGAAAGTTCTTGGATCAGGTTTTACAAACGCAAAGATTTTTTTAAAAACACATTGAGTAAAGGACTCAAGAGATTTCAGTTGAAATGAATAACTTGCTTTGCTACTCTCGTAAGTTAAATGACAATTGGACACCTAGATGATAGTTGCTGGAGTTTTCTCCTGTCTAGAATTTT